ATCCGCCCCAGCCCCACCCGTTGGCGTCTCTCCGAGCTGCTCCCGTCTTGGCAGATGCTGCCGGGAGGAGGACCGCAGCGAGGGGAGAGGGGGGGAGATCTGCAGTGCTGCATCACCAGACGGGTTTACTGCAGCAGAGTAATTACGTTACAAAAAAAAAAAAAAGAAAAAAGAAAAAACCCACGACACTTTCTGGAGGGCCGGGAGAGGCGACGACAACACCGCGTTTCGTTAGGCGGATCACACGTTAAGGCAAGATGGAGGCGAACGCGCTGCGAGGAGCAACCTTTGTCCGGATGCCGAGGGCTGGGAAGAGGGGACAAAAGACAAGGGGAGGCATCGCCGCGACCTTTGGTAACGTTCGCAGAGCGGCTCCTCTCAACCTTCGCCTCGTATCGTTCTACCTGCGCGTTAGCCTTTTCCAAGAAGGCTGCCTTTTGCAATCGCTGGCAGACCGAACAGAAAACAAAGAGGCACGTTCGCTCAGCTCCAAATCCGCAGACCCCAACAAAAACAAGGCTTTTTAGTGCCTCTGCCCGTCTGCAACTCATGCTGATTAATCATTAGCTCCGTACTGTAACGACGGCAGCCGAGGCTGTATTTTCGGAGGGGTTTACAGTTCAACCAGAAGCAGAGGAGATGAGGACATGCAAGAGCTGTTATGTCACCGAGCCCCTCCGCCAGCACAGCACCATCACAGAGCCAGCTGTAAACAGAAATCTAGCGGCCCTTTCAGAAAAAAAAAGTTGCTTGATAATCAGTGCTCAAACAAAGCCACACTAATCCAGCTTTTCAGACAAAGAAAAGGAATTCATAATTTAAGCATTATCGGTTTATTCACTGTAGATCAAAGCACCTCTATAATCAAGCAGCTGAAATGTTTCTGGGCTCTTGGCATGGCTGCTCGGCATGTTTCTCTCGCTCTCCAGCCCTTCCTCCTCCCCAGCTCTTCCTCTCGTACCGGCAGACAGCGCGGCCGGGTTGGGAAACGCAGCCTCCACCAAGGCAAGGCCGGGCTGGTTCCTCCTCCCCTGGGGCGACGTGTCACCCAAACACAACCAAAGTCATCCCTCACCCTGCACCGGGGTACCCACACCCTCGCCTCCCCACTTCTCATTAATCATTTCGTCGCGGGTGCTTACTCCAAACATTCATTTTTCTGCACGGTCTCTGCTGTTCCCAAGCAAAGGCATTTTAAACAAAGGCTGGACTAGCAGAAAGCCGGCCAGCAAAGGTTTAGTAAGCAAATGTTACCGTTTAGCTGCAACATTTCATAAACTGATTAGGATCTTTACAGGATGATACACAGATGATAGGAAAAGGTAGGATGAAATCATGGGAAATCGCTCTTTTCATTTATACAGAATCTCACTTTAAATCGTACTACCTCCCTGTGTCTCACGCTGAGCTCCCCCTGAGCTTGTGAGGACCTTTTTCACCCAACCATTCCCATTACGGCAGAATTCTGCAGGTCAGCAACATCCCGGTCTAAAAAACTTCACCGGGTTTTTATTTAGAAGCCAGCACAACGTTACGCTCCAGATACTACTAAATGCAAGACACACTGCAAGATCAAAAATAGCGCAGGAGGTTTTTTTGTGCTTGTTTCTGTGCTGCTCATTAAGAGCATGATTTGACAAGACATTCTGATACAGCAGGACATCTGAATATTTTGGATTCACTTGGATTCACTTTGACTAAAGCCAGATATCTTCGGCCATCTGAAAAGCACGGCTGATTTTTCCGTGCCACGCTCATACTCCTTCCTCCTCCATCATTATATAACCCAGGCAAGCCCCAGCCTGCATTATTTAGAAAAACGCTCGCACAGCTTGAAGCTTTTCTTGGCCAATCGCATTCCTCTTGCTTTGTTGTTATTTCATAACAAAGTAATGTGACCTGAAATAATACTTATCCTGAGCCCGCGCCTCTTCTCCTTAATTCACAACTCCAAATCAGCCCAAACGCCCCGTGTGCTAGGGGTTACTCCAGTCCTGTATTTCCCTCTGCACAAAGCAGGTCTGCTCCAGATGCGGGGAAATGCAAGACGTGCAAATACTAAAGGTGCCACAAAGCAGGTTGCCATCACCAGCTCCACGGGGGGTTTTAGCCAGGCTGCCGAAGTCTGCTGAACTCCATTAACACCAGTTCTGGGCTCTTCTGCTATCACAGAGACATTCATTTCACAGGCTAAGAACCTGGCCCACCGCAACAGCGCACACGTCTACTT